CCAACCAAGCATTTCTAATCACATCCCAACAGTGGCTTAATTTCTTTCAGTGGGGATATCCCAAAAAAAAGATTGTTTCTTCTTCTAGAAACTCATTATTAAACACCAGCACAATCACACAGACTACCTTTATTTAATGATTCCCCTTCTTGTAATTTGATTCCAAAATTTAGGGCACTCTTCTCATTTCTCCTAAGCTATTTCTCCCATCTAAAGCCTTGCCTTCCATGATTCAATTTTTCCCTTTCTGTCTTCCTTTCTTATTTCTTTTTGTAATAATTTAATGAATCCTTGAAAGCTAGTTCTCTTTCAGGCATGGTGCTAGACTTTAAGAATAATTTTGAAGAGGACACGATTCCTGCCTCTCTGACTACCTAGTACCATGGTGGTATAGTCACATATTTCTGAGGTACTAGGAGCCTAGGGCTTGTGCTCACCTGACTAATGAGGCCTGTATTGGAGATATAGAGGAGCTATTTCCCTGGTATCTTAGAAGTTCCCTATGTTTGTAAGGAGCAGATTCTTTTTTTGTTATTGGTATTTTCCACACAGATATTTAACTTTATGATCAATACCACTTATATAGAAAAAAACTAGCTATCTATGCACTGTTCCTATTAAAGACATTCATTTTCAGAGAAAACTTATAAATCTTTGCTCAAGGCATTGCTAGAAAGCCAGTTCCATAATTACCAGGGAGGACAAACTCGGAAAATCCAAGTGGGAAAACACAGAGTGTACTCCGCTTTTACACAGTACAGATATACCTCACATTCAGCAAACGAGAAAGACGGAGTCTAAACTGAATTTCAGTCTACCAGAATATAAGAGAATTTGTTAAAGAGAAAGTTACCATATAAAAACCCGTATTGTGACTGCAGTTGTAAAGCTAAAAATCCTTTTGAAAAGTGTAAAATGAATAATTCTGTAAGTTGCCCCTTAGTTGTTTTATAAACATGAATTTTTATATGTGTCTGGTTTCTTTGAAAAAGGAATTACTTGTAGTGGCATAGAAATTTCAAATGTATAAAAGAAGTACCAAAGGAAGGCATGAAGCGTCTGTGCTCAGTATTTAAATGCGCATTTACTTTCATGAGCTTCAGCATCATTCCCCACAGATCAAGGTGATGCAGCTGGGAAAAAAGATCACCGATTGTGGGAGGACGAGCACAGCCCACGTTGCCTCTCCTTTAGAGACAGGGACAGTCCTAGCAGTATATAAATGAACGGGCTTCCCAGGCAATAACAATGAGTGGTATGAGAACTGAGCTGGTGGGGGACAGGGAGCGTCAGGGAATGTGAGGACTGGGAAAACCTTCAGCAGTTCACACTGTGCTATCTGCCTTCCTCATTTGTGTGTTTTCTGAGTCAGCATTAGCTAAATTTTCCAGAAAGCCATCCACAAAGAACAGCCTGGGCGTTCAAGGGACGTCACTCATTTCCCCCACTGACCTTGACAAGTCAGAAGCTTGAAAGCAGGGAAATCCGGATGTCTCAGTTATGAAGTGGAGCAGTGGGGGCCTCAACATATTTCCAGAACTCTCCATCTAGACTGGTGATTGAGCATCTGCCTCTCTTACTGCCAGTGGCCACCTGAGGTGCTTCCCTGGCTCTGAGGGGGCTAGCACAATGGCCAAGTGCGTCAGCCTGGTGTTGCTTCTAGTCTCCATCTGGACCACAAGGCTCCTGGTCCAAGGCTCTCTCCATGTACAAGGTAGGTTTCTTACCAGATTTCCAAATTGAGGCAACCAAGATCTTGAAAATTGTCCTAAGCCTACTAAGCTCTTGACTATGGATTGCTGGGAATGGAGGTCGCCCTCGCTATCAATAGCAGGTCTAATCGGTAGTATTGCTCTGCCAGAAATGTTTTCACCATATTGTCAACTTCGCCAAAATGATTTACATTTACCTTTGTATCATCTTGACTTTTATTTTTGGTTATGGAATTTTTCTCTTTTTTTTTGGTTTTTGTTT